GAAGAGCACTGGTAGGTTCTTTTTTTTTCTTTCTTTCTTTTTTTTAAAAAAGATGACCAGTAAGGGGATCTCAACCCTTGACTTGGTGTTGTCAGCACCATGCTCAGCCAGTGAGCCAACTGGCCATCCCTATATAGGATCCGAACCCGTGGCCTTGGTGTTATCAGCACCGCACTCTCCCGAGTGAGCCATGGGCTGGCCCTGGTAGGTTATTTTCTATAATGCCCTTCAGTTTGGATTTGCTGTTTCCTCATGAGTCCATTGAGGTTCTGCATTTTCGTCAAGAATATGCAGAAGGGTGTGTCCTTTTCAGTGTGTCATATCAGGGACACATGTTGACTTTTCTTTCTATTGATAATGTTAATCTTGATCACTCAGTTGAGGTGGCATCCAATGGCTTTCTCCACTGCGAAGTTACAATTTTTCCCTCTGTAATTAATAAACGTCTTGCAGGGAACTACTTTGAGATTATCCTGTTTCTCCTCAAACTGCTGCCCGCTAATTCTGGCATCCATGGGTGGATCTTGCTTGCAACAGTTATTAACTGTGGTATTCTAATGGCGAGTTTTCACTTTTCCTCGCTCCTCCTACATTTATTAATTGGAATTCTTCTGTAAGGAAGAGCTGTCCCTTCTCTCCCATTTACTTATTATTATTATTTTTTTTTTGTCCTTTTTGAGACCGGCCGCACTGCGCTCAGCCAGTGAGCGCTGTGAGCGCACCGGTCATCCCTATATAGGATCCGAACCCGCGGCAGGAGCGCCGCTGCACTCCAGTGCCGCACTCTCCCGAGTGCGCCACAGGCTCAGCCCCCATTTACTTATTTATGTCAGTAACGGACTCATGGATATTTATTTTATTCTTTGGGCTGGAATGTCATACTGTTATTTTAAGGATTACTTTTTTGCATTTGCTTTTAATTTTTGAAAATGTAGCATTAAAAAAAACCTGTTATGGAAAATTTCAAACTTACCCAGAGGTAGAGAGAACTTCCTGGTCCCCTAAGTTCATCCATTTTCAATAGTTACCAACATTTGGCCCCATTTGGTTCATTTATTTACCTCCCCTGCCTTTATGTTAGAGTTTTAAAAGCGAATCCGTAATATAAAACTTAAGTCCCTATCACAGCATAGTTTTTCTTCATTGAAAACTTATTTTTTTTTTTTCCTTTTTGTCTTTTTTCATGTCCGGCAACGGATCGCAACCCTCAGTGTCACGCCCGTACCGGACCGGGACCGGCAACGGGATCGCAACCCTCGGTGTTGTGTCCCGCACCTCGCTCAGCCAGTGAGCGGGAACCGGTCTGTATGTGGGATCCGAACCCTCGGCGGGAGTGCCACCGCGCTCCCAAGTGCTGCACTGTAGCAGTGCGCCACCGGGCCGGCCCCATTGAAAACTTATTTTAAGAAAAATTTTATATTACACAAGGAGATCTAGCACATGTTGGTGGGGGATAAAGTTAAATATTTAAGCATAAAGACAGTAAAAACCATCCATGCTTCTACTGCCCAAATATAATCGATGTTGAAATTTCAGACTCTTTTGGTTAGGGTGGGAAAATCTCTTATGTTTTTATTTATTTATTTATTTTATTTTGGTTTTGGTGGCTGGCCAGTACGGGGATTCAAACCTGTGACCTTGGTGTTACAAGGCTTCACTCTAACCAACTCAGCTAACTGGCCAGCCCCATGTTTTCATTTAAATGCCTGCTGAATCCATCCTGTTGGTGAGCTGTGATTTACTCAGCTCTCTCATCTCTGTCGGTGCTGGAGATGCTTTTAATTCTTTGCTTGAAGCCGGGCTGCTGGCGTCAAGCTGCTTCCCTGAGTGACAGGTGGTGTCCTGCAGGGCCATGCCATTGGGTCAGAGGCCTGAGCATCTGAAGCTCTGGCCTTGCAGTGAGTACCGTGCTGCTGCTCTAATAACTTGGCATTGACTCAGTTTCCCTAAAACAATAGTAGCTAGGAGTTTTTCTCTGGGAAGAGTGCCAGCTGTGGCAGGGAGTCCTGTGTCCTTCTCAACACCCATCCCCCCTCCCCATTTTTGTGCCCAAGTAATGACTGTGTCACCTTCCTAGGCATGGGGAACCCTCTGTCTGAGTGTCCCCGGGAAAAAGAGGAACCAGTGGTTCGGGAGACAGGTGAGGCGGTCGAGTGCCACCTTGGCGACATGCTGCAGCAGCTCCACAGCGTCAATGCCTCCAAGCCTTCAGAGCGAGGGCTGGTGAGGCAAGGTGGGTACTGGGGGCTCTGGGTGGGGGAGGTTTGCCTGGGCACTTGGAGAAGGCAGGGGAAGTCTCAGCCAACAGAGTGTTGGAGACTTATCCAGGTCTCTGCCTCCACAAGCCCTTTGATTCCCCTATTTCCTGTAAATCAAAATCCAAATGAGTTAGGCTGACCTCCAAGGCCCTCCATGTTGGGGCTCCTGCCTTCTTTTCCGGCTCCATCTCTTACTCCACAAGTGCTCCACCTTGCAGCACCTTGATAAGCCATCTCCACACGCCTGTACACACTGCTCGTTCTGCTCAGTCAGTTCCTACTGACCTTTCCAGACGGTTGAAATAACAGACCTACACATGCTCCAGCCTCGGCTTCTGCTCATCCTGCTCTCCTCTTGAAGGCACTTCCTCCAGACATCTGCATGGCTCACACTGTCAAGTGTCTGCTCCAGTGTCACCTCCATGAGTCCCCACTGATAGCACTTCTCACCCCCTTACCTGCTTTACCATTAATTCTCTGCAACACTTCTTTTTCTTTTCTTTTTTTTTGAAGATGACTGGTAAGGGGATCTTAACCTCTGACTTGGTGTTGTCAGCACCACGCTCTCCCAAGTGAGCCATGGGCCAGCCTTCCCACAACACTTCTCACCCAGCATATTACAACATTTCCTTCTCTGTTTATTGTATTTAAAATAAGGGAGTTGTTGCATGCACTGAACATAACGTACTGATGTACGGTATTTGGAACTGTCTGTCTTCTCGCAGTTTCCTAATCACTCCAAACTGGAAAACTAGATAATATCAGCCACTGACTGTTACCATGATACAAGTAACTTACTTATTTTGTCCATACTCATTGTGATTAGTCTTTGTCTCTATAACTAGCGTGTAAGCTTCATGAAGTCTGGGGGTTTTGTCTCTTGCTGCCTGTACTACGACAGTGCCTGGCACACAGTAGGCCATTGATAAACGGGTCAATGGAAAAAAGGGACGGGGTGAGTGGGACTCAGTGTGCTGTGTCGTAACTTTCTGCTTAAACATCTGCTGCTGCTTGTCTGAGCTTGTTTGCAGCAGAAGCCCTGCTTTGCTCCTCTTGGTGTCCCAGAAATCTTGACTGAGCCCAGTGCTCAGCAAACTTCCCTGTTGTGGGCTGCATGAATAGGCCAGAGGGGAAGAGCCTGGTACTGATCAGTTGTCTGTTTCTATCCCAGAGGAGGCCGAGGATCCCGCCTGCATCCCCATCTTCTGGGTCAGCAAGTGGGTGGACTATTCAGACAAGTATGGCCTCGGTAGGTTTCTTCCAGAATGGATGGGTGGCTCTGGTACAGCCAAGTGACCCTTTAATGTGGTACAGGCTCTGGCCCTTTTTGGCTCCCAAGTCCCCTTCTCTCTACACTCCTATCTCCATCCCAAGGCCTCTCAGTTCCAGTCCCAGTGCCCCTCCACCCTTACTCCCCCTTTCTGAGGTCTCTCTCCACTACTGCTAGGGTATCAGCTGTGTGACAACAGTGTGGGGGTGCTCTTCAATGACTCGACACGCCTTATCCTCTACAACGACGGCGACAGCTTGCAGTACATAGAGCGTGATGGCACCGAGTCCTACCTCACCGTTAGTTCCCATCCCAACTCCTTGATGAAGAAGGTGAGTGCTGGCTGGCCCATGGGGCTTGGTGGTGCTGGGAGTGGAACTTGTGCCAGACAGGGGCAGACTGTAACTCTGGAGTCCCTCCCCAACTTTTCAACCAGATCACCCTCCTTAAGTATTTCCGCAATTACATGAGCGAACACTTGCTGAAGGCGGGTGCCAATATCACGCCTCGGGAGGGCGATGAGCTGGCCCGGCTGCCCTACCTGCGCACCTGGTTCCGCACCCGCAGTGCCATCATCCTGCACCTCAGCAATGGCACCGTGCAGATCAACTTCTTCCAGGTGAGCCGGAGGCGAACCCAGGGCAGGAGAGAGTTGGGGCGGGCTGTCTGTGCCTGGCAGTGGCACATGGGTTGGGTGGGTGGGAGGTGTGGGCACCTGTGCTTGGTGGTAGGAAGGGAGTAAAGTGGGGGGCCTGCCTTCCCGTCAGCTGGGGTATCTTCCTCTCCACCGCACCCCCCACGTACACAATCCCTTCCCTTCTCCCCCTATAGGACCACACCAAACTCATACTGTGCCCACTGATGGCAGCCGTGACCTACATCGATGAGAAGCGGGACTTCCGCACATACCGCCTGAGCCTCCTCGAGGAGTTCGGCTGCTGCAAGGAGCTGGCCAGCCGGCTCCGCTACGCCCGCACCATGGTGGATAAGCTGCTGAGCTCACGCTCGGCCTCCAACCGCCTCAAGGCCTCCGCCTAGGCCTCCCTCCCTCCTGGACTGCTGCCCCTTACCTCCCACAGCTCCTGGGGCCTGCACTGTTAGCTCCCATGGTGCTGTTTGTATAATATGCCCCCAGCCCTGGGGGCTGGGCAGAGAGCTCCATCACCCTCGCGGGCAGGGGTTGCTGTGTGAATTATTTTTGTACATGTTCAGGTGTGGGTTCTCTTCCCCTTCCCTCAACCGCACCACATGGATTGTACAGAATATTTCTATTGAATTCCGGACTGTCCTTTCCTTGGCTTTATGCACATTAAACGTATGTGAATCTTCTTTTTCTTCTTTTGTTCCCTGAGGGGTGCCTGGGTTCCGGGTGCATCTGCTCCAGCAGCCTCAGGCTGCCCAGCCTCTGTCTTTTCTGGTGCAAGTCCTCGGCTGGCTGTCGTGGAGGCCGCCTCCAGGGCCCCCAGCCCACCTCAGCTCCCTGCGGCCCCTGCGCATGGCTCCCTGGCCTCTGAGGCTGTTGGGTAGTAGGGGAGGAAGAGGCTTTCAGAGGAGCAGCTCCTCATGGCCTTGTGCGTGTGGAGGAGCAGCCGTGGGAAGCGGTCTGTGAAGTACTGGATGAAGCTGTCAGGGACCTGACCCAGCGTCTGCTGCACGTTGGTCGGGAGCTCTCTGTAGTGGTGCTTCTGTGGGTGGCAGAGCACAGAGCCCCGGCTCAGCTGTGGCCAAGCCTTCCCCATGTCCAGGCCCCACCCAGGCCCTGGAACGCACCTTGTTCCTCATAGCACGGAGCAGGTCTCTCACGGATGTCCCCTTATATGACCGGAACCTTCTCAGATCTGTGGGCAGGGAAGTTGGTGACAAAGCTGTCCCCACTGGGCTCCCCTCAGCCTCCCAGGTCCACCCTGAGTGTGGCCCCTACCTGTCTGCAGTGGTACGGAGATGTGTCTGTGCCAGTTGTCCCGGACCACCATGTGGCCTCCTGCCTCCAGTGCCGTCACCAGGGGCCCCTGCTCAGACTCCTTCTCTAGCCAGTCACTGACATCCTAGGATCCCACAGAGCTCCTGAGCCTCATAACCGGTACCAGTGGCCACGAGGCCAGGTGTGTGTTGTGCGTCATAGAGGAGTGAAGCCCAGAGCTTCTTGGTTTAGGACGATAAGGATTGTGTCCTTGGGGAGTATGGCTTCTCTGTGCCACGCCTCCATGTTATTTACCTCCAGCTGAGGAGGTAGTACTGCTGTCCCCATTCTACAGGTGAACAAACAGGCTCAGAGGCACAGTGTCCCTTTCTCAAGGTCAGAAGTGGAATGTGCTGTCTGGGCATAGGCATAGCATGGGTGACAATTCAGGTGGGAAGAAATGGGGTCTGTTCCCACACAGAGGGCAGCAGGGCTGGGGAAGCTGGTCATGAGCAGACCGTGGAGTGCTGAAATGGTAGAGTTTATGGGTCCAGACTCCCCTCTGGTTCAGATAAGAGCCAGGCTGCCTGGAACAGGTAGCGCTTCCTGTTTCCCCCAGCCAACCTTACGTCCTGTTGCTCCTGACACAAACTTGGGACTTTTAGGGGTCATTCCCAAGATTTCCCTCTGACCTGGAAGAACTGGAGCTGTTTGGCTCTGCTCCAAAAGAAGGGGTGGACCAGCACCTGGTGAGCAGAGGGGCGCGCCTGCGGCAGCGGGCTCAGCATGGCTTCCACCAGGTCCCGGGCAAGGAGCTTGTCTGGAGGAAGATGGGGAGGGACAGCTTCAGGCCCGCCCAGCCTCACGCCCTTCTCCCTCCCTGCTCTGCCAGCCCCATCTCTCTCACCGTGGGCCTCTTCCTCCAGGTGAGCCAGACAGGGAGCCCCCATGAGGATGTTTGCCTGGCGATACAGACTCTCTCCGAAGGGGTGGCTGCCTCCAGAAAGCACGTAGTAGAACACGCAGCCTGCAGAGAAGATGTCCACTGCGCTGGTCTGGGGGCCAGAGAGATGGGCGTGAAAGAGAAGTCTCTGCTTCCAGGAAGGCGGCCTGGCTAACTTCTCCCCTGGCTGACCCCAGAGCTCCAGAATGCTTCCTGGGCAGCACCTCCTCGGTTCTAGATCCCCTCCCTTCTGCACCATTAAAGGGGGCCCATGTGTTTCATCTGAAATAAAGAGCCTCTAGTTCAGGTTTCCAAACTCCATTCCTGCAGGGAATAGGCAGGCACAGCTGAGTAAAGCTGGCCAGGCATGAGGCAACAAGAGACAGTGAGCACCGTGGTGACTGGGTACGGGTCCTGTCCACAGGAGAAGCTGGTCCTTAGCTCCAGCTGGTTGTCACCAGAGGACTCTGTAGGGTGGCAGAGCTGATTTTCCAAGAGAATCCAGAAATTCAGATTTTTGTGTGGAATTTCCCAAATTTGAAAATAAACTATACAGGCTCATAACATCAGTGCATTTCATCCTTGGACCTCCAGGTCACCACTTCGACTTTAGGAGTGGGAGTGGCTTTGCTTAGTGACTGTCCTTTTGTGTTACTGTCATCTATGCCTGTGACTTCATCTTCTACCCACGCACTATGACTCAAAAGTCATAATCTTGGGGCTCCAAACTCAAGTGTCTGTAGGGGTCGGACACTGCTCTGTGCTTCCACTATACTTACTGCTCACGTGTTGCTCCCCAAACCCTCCAAACCGGTGGGTCTCAGCCCTGGCTCCACATTGAAATTGCCCTGGGGCACTACCCCAGGCTAATTAGGTCAGAACTACTAGGTGTGGGGCCTGGGCATCTTTTTTTTAAAAAACTCCCTAAGGATTGTAAAGCACAGTGAGGATTGAAAATCATTTTGTAGCTCGGGTTTCTCAACCTCAGCACTGTTGACATTTTGGTGCAGATAATTCCTTGTTGTCAGGGGCTGTCCTGTGCATTGTAGGGTGTTTAGCAGAGTCTCTGGCCTCCACCCACCAGATGCCAGTAGCATTTCCCTCCCAAGTCACGATGACTAAAAATGTCTCCAGACATAGCCTAATGTCCCCTGGGTGGCAAAATAGTCCCTGATTGAGAACCACTGCTCTAGTTAAGATGGGAGATTATCCCACTTTACAGATGAAGAAATGGAAGCTCAGAGGAGTGGCTCAATGTCACAGCAAGTGGCACAGAGCCTCATCTGGAGGGGAACTGGGACGGGGGGGGGGATTCCTGTGGCCTGGGGTGGTTATCTGCCTGGGCAGCTTGGTGGGAAGACTCACAGGGCTGTCTGGGGGCAGGAGCCGTAGGAGCTCGGGGGCCATCCAGCCTTCCGTGCCAGGGATGCCTGAGCGGAGACTGAAGCTATGGCGGCCAGCAGAGAGCTTCTTGCACAGGCCGAAGTCTGAGAGGACCACCCTGCCTTGGCCCTGGCTGTCAGGCCCAGTGATGAGAATGTTGCCCGGCTTCAGGTCCCGGTGCACTGTGGCAGGGAGAGGAACAGAGAGGGAGCTGACTGCTGATTGCAGGGGATTGAGGATGGTAGCTGAAGGCAGGGGTGTGGGTACCTATGTGTAAGGAATGCAGGTGGGCCAGGCCAGACATCAGCTGCTGTAGCACCATCTCAGGCTCCAGACCCCAGTGCTCCAGGTCGGGGTTTTCCATGTACTGAGCGGCAGCAGGGGCAAAGTGTCACTATCCAGCCTAGGACCTCCCTGCCACCCCACCCGGTCCTCCCTGACCTCCCAACTCACCTCCTGCAGTGAGGCCTGGCAGAGCTCCAGGGCAATGTAGTGGAACTGGGGTCCCCGCTCGGTGCAGAAGTAGCGGAGCACATTGGGGTGCCTGTCAGACTCTTGCAGCAGCTGGACCTCCCGCCGAACCAGGCTGAAGCATTCACACAGGAGCCGCTTGACAGCCACAGCCCGCCCCTCAAACTGTCCACTGGGAGGGTGGAACATTCAGAAAGAGCAGATAAAGGAAAAGGTAGGAACTGGTGGGCGAGGGACCAACCTGTACCCACCTCGGGGAGTTTTTGAAAGAATGGTTCTCCAAGGGACAGTGCCAGACTGGCTCCTGGCTGCCACTCACCGAAAAACAAAAGTCCCACTGGCCCCACGGCCCAGCACATCCTTGGGATTGAAGGAAATCTTCCCCACTACAGTGAGCTGCTCAGCTACGGGAGAGGAGTGCAGCATCTCAGAGACCCATAGCCACCACTCTTCTACCCACTTTTGCCATCCACACCTTGTCCAGATGCGTCCCTGCCACCTTGACCTTTCTCTGGACTTCCACCCTTCCATGCTCAACCTGGTGCAGTGGGTGAGAGCAAGGACCCAGGTGCTAGCCTTCCTGGTCCAGTGCCTGACGCTGCCACTTACTCGCGTGTGCTTAGGCAAGTTACCTAACCACTGTGCCCTCAGTTTCCTCAGCTGTAAAGCAGAGCAAATGTTAATGATCCCACAGTGTACTATTGTGAGGACTAACTGAATACATGGAGAGAAAGAGTAAGGTGATGTTTGCTATATGATCCTTGTTTATCTGTCTCCCTCTTCTGGCATCTTCCACAGCTTTCCTTCCTCTATGTCCTCTGTCATTCTCTCCACCTTCACTAGTGTAGCGAAATCCTTTTAATTGAGGTTGAATCGGCTTCAAACAGGAAGGTGAATTTTAGCAGCTGGAAGCATGATGTGAGTGAGCACAGTCCCAGACAGCAGGGGCAAGCAGCAGGCATTTGGATGCTTAGATCCCCAGCGTTTGTTCTAGGGCAGCAGAGAGCGCCGAGAAGGACTTGGTTTCCCATTAAGATGGCTGAGCTTGGCGCAGGCGGGTAAAGGTCTTTGGGTTTGGACAGTCACTACTTTTCCCTTTGGGTAGCCTGTGAGAGACTTTTCATTCTGACCCAGGCACATCTGGTCAGGTTGTGCTCCAGGGGCACTGTCCACACAGCTAAATGCATATGGTGGCCGCAGAGCTATGCAGCACGGTGGCCCTGAGGGCACTCTACTAGGAAGAGCTGCAGGCTTCAATCAATTCTAGGAAAAGCAAATGAGAATCAGCCCTAGGGATCAGTGAGAAGAGCACCAAGCCATGCCTCAGTATGGCTGTGAATTATTTGCTTAAATGTTCACTCTCATCTGTCGGCAGGATGCAGGCAGCAACCTAAATTGGCATACACTGGACTCTCACGAGTGGATGGGTTATACAGCCTTGCTGGAAGCACATCACCACATGTAAGAGAGACAGGTGGCTCAGAAAGCAGGGACAGAGTTGCTTGAAAACCTCTTTGAAGGAGCCCTGCTCATCTGACTCCAGGGGAGGGCCACCCTTCCGGGCCCCTTTGTACCACTTGTTGGGTTCTGCTGGGTTTCTAGTCTCTTGCATGTCTGCCTTCTCCATTCTCCATGCAGTTGGCATGGGGTAAACAGTTGCTAAGAGTTTGCTGGGTTAGATGTTCCAGAGCACCCTCAATACTAGATAGAGGCCAGACTTATGGCCACGAAGATTTTGCAGAAATAATGAGCTGGCAGAGGCTCCATTTGCACACATAGGTATTTGCCATCACTTAGCTCAGCCTTCTGCATCATTATGGTGGAGTCCAGCACATGCAGGAGTCAAGTGCTAAAGCAATCAAAAGTTGTCATGTCAGGGGAAAGTAGCACACAGTCAGAATGAACTTTGCAAATCCTAAGTACCTGACGAATGTTGCTGCTTTTTGTAGACAGGTTGGGGAGCCTGTAAAATCAGGTCACATTCTTTCATAGGTGTCTGCAGTGTTCAAAGAGGGGACCATCTCCCATAGATCAAGATCATACGCTGGAGCCATCTGACGAGCATTTGAGCCCCTGACCTGCCACTTACTACTTTTGTGAGCCTAGGGTGGGGGTGGGAGGTGTCACTAAACCTTTCTGTCTTCAGTTCCTGTCCCATAAAAGGTGCACTATTACAGTATCCACCTCACAAGAGTGTTGTGAATATCATAAGAGGTAATAGGTGCAAAGTGTTTAGAACCGTGCCCAGTAAGTACTATATTAATGTGTGCTCTGGTGCAGGCTTGATTGCATGTACTTGTTGTTGAACACATGGTGCAGTCAGTGTCCTGAAGGATGCCAAGCCAAGCACATGTAGATGAATCTGGGTAAGTTTAATAAGAGAAGGATGTGAAGTCTACGAGGAATGTCTCTCCCTCCAATATAAGACAACCAAGATTTCCATGATCAGAGTTCCTGAGCTGGGCATAGGTGTCCTATGAACACGTTAGAGGCTGCTGCAAGGAGCTGATGCTGGAGGGCTTTTGTGGAGTGGTTTTTGCAGCTTTTCTGCCATCAGCCACAGTTCTGGCTCTCCCTGGGTAAAGCCAAGATTTTGGTACACTGAACTCTGCCTAGGATGGGCAAATACCAGGCTGTTAACCAGCTCTGCCTTTTCCTCACACCTGCTCGTCGCCTATTCTTTCCATATTTATTTATGAGAAGTGCTGCTTTCTTTTTTCTTTCTTTCTTTCTTTTCTTTTCTTTTCTTTTTTTTTTTTTTATGGCTGGCCAGCATGGGGGATCCGAAACCATGACCTTGGTGTCATAAGGCTGTGCTCTACCCAACTGAGCTAACGACAACTGCTGTTTTAGAATGCATCTCCAGTGCCTAGTGCCATCACCGATTTCACAGATGTTCACTGAGCCAGGTTCTGTGTCGATGGGTTGCAGTGCTAAGCAAGACAGCCATAGCCACTGCAGCACGCTCACAAGGGCAGCTGTCCCCCAGTTTGCCACAGTCTCCCTGCTCCCTATTCTCTCTCCTACAGAGTTGCTTCATTCATTTACTTTACCCACCTGGCCTGTCCATGAGTGTGAGTTTGCAATCCTACTTTCCATTTCTAGAATATGTTCCCTGCTTTCTCTCATCTCTTAATTTCTGCTTGTGCTGTTTGCACTGCCTGGGATGTACCTGCCCCACTCCTCTCTACTCACTTGGATAATTCCTTCCCTCCTTGGAATCCTGGCTTAAATGTCACTTCTAGGACACCTTGTATTTCCCAAGTCTGGGTTACGTGCCCCTCCTCTGTGTTCCCGTAGTCTCTATATGACCCCACATCACAGAATTTATCACCCTGCCTAGTAATTATCTGTTTTCCCTAGGCTCTGCCTAGGGGTCATGAAAGTGCCAAAGCAAAGAGTTTATTAGCACTTTAAACAAAGAAAGTCAAAGAAATAGAGGGTTTTCTTTAAATGATAGAGGAAATCCAGTATTATATAGAAATCGTTACCACAGAATTTAGTAACAAGGATACCAGGATCTAACTAAATATTTTATTTACTTGGACTCTTGTCCTAAAGCACTGATATTGTTCTAATTCTTTTCTCATGGTGATAAAGAATTTTTGGCATTTCATATAACTAGGTGTCCTGGCTGGGCCACATCTGGGATTCAATGCCCTCTTTTCTCTTCCTGCATCCCCCTCCCTTGAGAGGGGGCTATCGACTGGCTTAGATGGGAATTGAGGAGACTCCTGGGGAAGGAATTTCACTCATTTTAATAACTGGGGTCTAGTGAACTGTGGTAGTGAGGGGCAGCTGATGAAAATGGCAAGGAGGAATCAAAGGGCTCTTTGACGAGAATCAACTCAGGAAAAGACAGAGTCCAGGTTGTCCAGGAAAAGACAAACCAGACTTGCTCCAGAGTCAGGAGGTCCAGGGACATGAATGTTTTGGGGCATGATGGGGTGAGTATTACTCAGACCCACCCTGGGCCAGTAAAATGACAAGAACTTCAACACCTCAGGGCTCAGGTATCTCTGCTGTGGGGCCCTCTAAAAGAGCTGACCCCTGAGGAGGAGGACCTGCTTTCCTCTCAGCTGAGGCACAGTGAACACAAAGGTGAATGCTGGGGACAGACCTGAGGCATCAAGCCAAGTGTGGGGACATCAGTCGGAGTAAGGTGACAGTGGGGTGGGGCTGAGGCATGAAGTAGTGGTTTGAACAGTGACCACGAGGTGCCAACACCAGAGCTGAAGAAGCAGGAGAGATGGCCTGGGCTGGCCGATAAGCCATGTGGAGAGCCCAGGAGCATCCCACAGGAAGCATAGGAAGCTTGGAAAGGCTTTTTCTACAGGACTAAATTGAGAAAAGACAAGAGCAATGTTTAAAAAAATAAAAAGCCCTAAAGAGGGGAAAAGGTACCAAATTGTACCTAGGTCACTTACTAGTATTGTTCACAAATACAATATTATCTTAGCACAAATATCAATAACATCACCGAGATATGATGTAATAATAACTATGGTGGTAACGTCTTACAGTGTGGTGATGTAATTAGGTGGGTGTCATTTTTCCCACTTGACAGGTGAGAAAACTGAAGCTCAGAGGAATTAAGCAACCTGTCAAAGTTAACAGACAGTGAAATTAGATCCATACCCAGTTCTATCTACATCCAGAGTCCCCGAAAATAATAAGAATAATGATAGCAGACGCTTCTAAAGTACTCAACTACATAACAGGAACTATTCAAGAGATTCTCTTATTAACTCATTTAGGCTTAACTGCCCTACTATAGTGTTCTAATAAACTGAATCTGGAGCTTCACCTGCCCCTCCCTTTTCTCTGTCCTTGACTCTGCCCTGTCTTGTTCGTTCGTGCTCACCTTCAGGGTCATCTACTGGCTGGTCTTGCTCTGAGGGGCTTTGGAGCCTCTTCTGGCCCTGTGCGGTGGTCCCCAAAGGCTGGGACTGAGCATCCTGTGAGATGTGCGGAGGGCCTGCAGCTGCCAGGGGGGTCTGTGGCTGCTTCTCCACCAGATGCTGCTGCTGCAACACGAGGACCTAAGACAGCTCATCCTCGGCCAGGCCCTGGCCCATGATGGGCCCAGCATCTTGCCTGAGATGGCCTCACACTGGAGCATGAACTTACAGAGCACAGTAAACAGCAGGGGCTTGAGGAGATGCTGGGGGAAGGCAGTGGCAAGGTCGGAGCTGGGTGAGGGAGAAAGTTGCTGAATGATCTCAGTGGGGAGGGGCAGAGTGCCCCCTAGGAAGACACTAAGATGGACCTGAGGTCAGGATGATGGGCTTACCTGCCTCATCAGGAAGAGAATCCACCCTCCCAGGAGGACAGCAGTGAGGCTAGCTGCCAGCAGGTCTTGGGGGCCCAGCCCTGCAAAAGAGTCTGGGCTTTTCTCTTCAGGATGCAGCTCCAGGTCCCAAGGTTTCTCCCGGCTCAGGCTCAGGAGCTGGGGACAAACGGGCTTTTGCTCTTGGCACTGCCTCACACCGTGGAGCTCCTAACCCTTCTTCATCACCCAGTACAGGGCTGAGCTTAGCTAAAGGGCTGGTGAGTGGTCTGCACATAGTGGGAAATGTGGCGCTGTCCGTGGTGCTGAAACATCGTGGTGCCCAAGAGTGATTTTCCAACCCTAGCAGATGACCAGCATCTCATGGGGTGTCACTTAAAAATACATATACCCACATCCAGAGATTCTAAACTTGGTGATTCTGGTGAGCAATCAGATTTGAGAATTATTTCCCTAGGTCATGGCTGTTCCTTCTAACCTTGAACTACTTACTAGTGATTCTTACCCAACCCTCTCCCAGGAGAGCAAGCTTTTAGTTGTTCTGTTTTCAATTTCTCATTTGATGAATATTTTATGATTTTTACACTGAAGATGAATATAGAAAACTGTGACCTATGTTTTACAGTTTAGGTAGCCAATACATTTTTGACACTTCTAACACATTTCTGGCAGCAACTGAAAAAATGTCTACTGGGAAATTGCGTGAGGTCAATTGGCCCACCTCCAAATGTTATTCCTAGAGGCCTGAGGAAAAAGTGAAAGGGTTGTCCACGCACCTGCTGGGTACCCCCACCCCCTGCCCTTCCAGCACTGACCTCCAAGAAGAGGGATGGGGTGTGGGTGTTCTCTGGGGGTCTTGTCTCAGCAGTCCCACTCCCTGGGGTGGGATGGACCCTCAGCATGGTGGTGTGCAGGACTGGGGGTAGCTCATGGTGTCCTATAGGGCAGGTCAAAAGTCAGTGGGCTGAAGGTGACCTCAGCCTTCTAGCTCAGAAGCTGAGCTCTTAGGTCCTTTATCTTCATGTACTCCAAATTTGAGCCAGGGGACCTCACCAATGAGCAGCCACTGGCTAGGGAGGGCCACGCTGCCGGAGGGGTATCTGACAGCAGTGCTGGGGGAGCCCTTTCGCTCCCCTGAGACTTGGAGCGTCACCTCCTCTGTGGTGGGGCCATCTTTGGGGGCCAGGCTCAGTCCACGAGGCTATAGCAGGAGATGGAGAGCCATGAGTGAGGGAGGCGCCTCTACTGCCCCATCCCCTCTTTTCAGGCCACTCAGAGACCCCTTCTCACCACCAGGGCCACTCCTGCATGGACCAGTGCTTTAGAGACATAGAAGCCAGCTTCATCCTTGCCCACATACAGCGTCATCCTAGAGGGAGAGAGGAAAAAGAAGAGAAGGATGAATGATGGTGAGTGGTAGTTTCAGTTACCACCGGATCCATGCCCCTGTAGAGTCTCCTTCCACGTTGACTCTGCACTCAGCCATGTAACATTTTTTGACCAGTGAGATAACGGCAGATGTGACACAAGCAGAGGTTTAAAAGTGCTCATGCACTGGGGCTCATCTTCTTGTGTTGTTCTTTGGGGCCCTGAGACCACTGTGTGAAGAAACTACAGCTAGTCTTCTGGGGCATGAGTGGCCTCATGGAGCACAGACAAACCCTTCTATGTGATGACCCCAAATTCTATGTGATACCAACTATGAGATAGCAGAGTGACAATATCCTAGATCGTCCAGGCTCAACCAAATCACCGGCTGACTGCAGAGACCAGAAAAACCATCCGGATAACCCACAAAATCTTGAAAAATAATAAATATGTTTTTGTCTCTAAGTTTTTTGGCTCTAAGTTTTGGGGTGGCTAGTTATGCAGCAAAACCTAACTGATACAAACTCTACAGTTATGATTTCTAAATCTATGTCTAGCCTAGACCTCTTTTAAGAGCTCAATTTTCTAAATCTGGGCTGGCTGGGCAGCTCACTTAGGAGAGTGTGGTGCTGGTAACAATAAGGTCAAGGGTTCAGATTCCCATACTGACCAGCCACCACCCCCAATTTTTTTCTAAAGCTGAATTCATCACCTCATTCCTCACCTCCTCCTTCTTCTTTCTCTCCCTCCTCTAGTGCTTCCTACCTCTTTTTGTTGTTGTTGTTGTTTGGTGGCTGGCCAGTACGGGGATCCAAACCCTTGATCTTGGTGTTACAAGGCTGTGCTCTAACCAACTGAACCAACCGCCAGCCATCCCTACCTCTGAAGATGACAGAGCCATGTGCTTCTAGAAACCCAAGCATGACCCTTGACTCTTTGCTCACAATCACCAAACTCCTTAATCACCAAATTCTTACTGGATTTTCCTCTTAATATCTCTTACCCTCTACTTATTTCTGTCTCTAGGGTTTCCAATCCAATCCAAAGTATCTTCATTTCTTGCCTGAACTAACAGTATTCTGTAAGTGTTCATTTCTTCCCTGTATCAGTCTACGATATTCTTCACACTGCAACCAGTCATCTTTCTGAAATTAAAATATAATCAGATCCTTGCTTAAAATCCTCTATGGATTTCTCCTTAGTCTTAAGAGAAAATGTCCAAACCTTTGAAATGATCCTACAAGATTCCTGCTTTAATGTACAGTCTCAGACATTACTCATTGCTCAGATCTATGTTCCAGCCTTATTTAGTTTCATACTGTTCTTCAGATTCCATTCTCTCTCTCTCTCTCTTTCATTTCCTATTTATCCTTTGGGTTTCGACTTAGATATGTGTCCACCAGGAAGCTTTCCATGACTGCTTCCTGCCCCAGTTTGGACTGCTTCCCTCCTACACATCCCGGTGGCACCCTGTACCTCTCTCATCTCATTCTTTATCACACCATATTATGATGGCCTCTTTACACGTCTGTCTCTCCCACTAGACTGATTTCTGTAGGAGGTACAATGGCTGTATTATTTACTGCCGAACTCCCAGAGCCTAGCAAGTGACTGGCACACAGTAAGCTTTCAATTAATGTCTGTGGGACCAATTGAGTACGTGGACAATCCCTGATTCTCCCACTGTCTCCTGGTTCCCCAAGATGGGGACACTAAGGTGTTAGGTGCTACAAGTAAAGGTGATGTTTAGAGTATTTAACAATCAATAAGGCACAGCACCTACCAATCAGAACAGGTTGAGACCTGGAGACCCCCTCATAGGTCAGATTTTACCCTATCAATTCTGAACAGTAGGGCTATCCAGGGGGTCTGCGGAGCACTTGGGTGGATGGGGGGGTGCAGGGCACTGGTTATTTACAACCAGTTTGGTAAATGACCAGTTTGAAATATGTCGGCAGGTGGTTCAGCTGTCCTGGTGTGTCATGGCTGAACATCACACCTGGCCATTGGGCCCAGACTGCAACACTTCTAGAGGCCCCTCCCCAGGCCCCAGGCATGGGCACCTACAGCAGCTGGGTGTCCAAGGCAGAGAAGTGGGAGGCTGTGTCCTGGGGGCCCGAGGCAGGTAGTCGGATGTGGCCCCAGCGGAGGGCGAGGAAGTGCAGCGTGTCCCGAGCCAGTGTGAAGTGGGGCAGCTGGCGCAGGCCATCCTGCTGCCAGGCATAGACGCCCATCACGGGGACACCCAGGTCCTGTGTCCACAGCACCATCCCACTTCGTGGGTCCACAGTGAGAAGCAGGCCCATCCCACAAGATGTCAGGTGGCTCATGTCTGCCAAGAAAGGTGGCTAGGGAGATGTGGTCAGAGGGCTCTCATGGGAGGCACCTGAGAGCATCTGGGGTGGGGGCACTGCCCTTAGGGTGGGCCATCTGGGGGGCCATTCAGGTGTGTCAAGGTGAGGTAACATCACTTGGAAGGTTATCAGGACATGGGAAGGTCAGTCAGAGTTCATGGGGTCACTTTGAACAGGAGGGGAACAGTCAGGGTCATCCAAACGTGACTCAGGTGTGTGAGTCAGTCCAGGTCTCTTGACAGAGATCACTCAGGATGTGGGGAGTCAGCCAGGGTTACCTGTCTGGGGTCACTGGAGTACAGAAGAGTTAGGATGCTGAGTGATTGCTCAGGGTATACAAGGGTCAGTCTGGGTGTTGAGGGAGTCACTAAAGGTAAGCTGTCAGGGCTGTGTCATTCAGAATATGGGGTCCCTGAGGAGGTCAGGTGGTTAGAATATGAGTGGGACCTGGTCACTCAGGGTTCCCTGAGTTGGGCACCTCGCTCCAAGGTGGGGCCAGAGAAAGGTGGCACTCACATTTCCCAGGTGAGCCATCCGTGGGGAGTGCCGTGTAGCGGCGGTAGGTGGTGTTCCAGCGCAGAGCTGGGGCTCTCGGGTCATGCATGGTGACTGTGTACTCTGAGGATCCCCAGAAGCAAGGTTACCAGGAATGACCATGGGATACTCCCCCCAACCCCAGGGGCTGTTTGTCTTGTGGGAGTGGGGGCTTCCTGAGCTCCTGGCCTGGAGGCCCAGAAGTCTGTGAGCATCACAATGGCAGAGACCAGGGCCATCTGGCTTACTCCTATATCTCCAGCACCTGTTCAGAGCTCAGTGGAATGTTTGTTTATGACTAACAAATTGACTGGGTGGCCTGGATTCAACTCAGATAGCAATTGCCAGCCTGGGCAAAGCAAAAGAGGGGGCTGCCCAGAGCTTGTGGAGCAGCTGGGGCCTGACTCACGTGTTCGGCCAATGTAGAGGCGGGGAATAGAGGGACCGTCTGTGGTCAGTGTTGTCTGGGTTTCCCCCGACTCAGGGTCCACCACAAACCAGGCATCCTGCTTCCGGCCTGTGGAGGTGGAAAGAGCACCAGCTTTCAAGATGGCATGGGAGACAGCATGTATCCTGTCACTTCTGTTCCTAGCTGGCCCACTCCCTGGCCCCAGTCCCAGCTAACCTAAGTCCCTGTCCTTGCTGGCTGGGCCTGGATCCACATGCTGAAGAGATGCTTACCTGTGTAGAAGACCCCATCAGAACTGCGACAGGGAGAGGCATGAACCAGCTCAGGGATGGTGAATGGAAGTTTCTAAGGAAAGGGAAAAGTTCCAGGAATGAGTAAGAGTGGAAATACCTACATTGCTCTCTGTGTCAGGCACCCTTTTAAGGTTAACCCATTTCCATAGCAACCTAATCATTAGGTACCATTGTTATCATTTCCGTCTTCCAGGTGAGAAAGCTGGGGTTCAGAGAGGCTAAGTAACTTGGCTAATATCACACAGCTAGTAAGTGGCAGAGACAGGCCTTGAACCCAAGCAGTCAGGCTCCAGAGCCAGCACGCTTAACCACTTTGCAGTACAGCCTCATGAGGAACTATGAAAATCCCACACCCAGTGCTAACGTGCCACGTGATAAACGTGATTGCTACCTGACGACCTCTTCAAAAACACACACGGAGACTGTCAACAGTCATAAGAGACTCAGAGAGGCTGAGGAGCTCTAGCTCTTCCAGAACAAAGGAGACCATGACCCGGAGTTGGCTATGAGTGGAAATGCACCCTTCTCCACCCTGCTCTCTCTCCAGAGTCAGTCTTGTCTGGAATGCATGAGTGGGTGCACTGCACCCTGGCTTCCCGTTGGGCTTGGATAATTGGGACAGAGTGAGATCAGGGTATGCATGATCAGGGAAACTCTGGTTTCCTCTCCACAGAGTCACCATGGGTTGGTTGTATCCCTCCACCAAAGGCCTCAGCTGCCATTTTGTACAGCTCCCTTTGGCTCCAGGAAGTGGTAACTGCTCCCTCCCACCCTCCAGGCTTAGGGCTGATAATGGCACCCCACTGTTGTGAGCCATTGGATACTACACTATCCCTGGTGGTTTCCTACACTCTGCCCTCATCTTTGTAAGCAATCCCTTTGATAAAACCCTTTCAAACTACACAACCCTTCGAGTGTGCTGCGTGTTTGCTGCTAGGACCTGGCCTGAATTACGCACTAAAATTTCTTATCAATTCAGCTTCCTAAATCACATACTTAAGACCTTGCTGGCAGGCTTCTGATGGAATGGTCTGAATTCTGACAAAGCACATTCTACCCCATACCCTGTGATAAATCCAGAGCCATGTCCAATAAGCCCCCATCAGAGTCCTGTTGTGGCAGATTGCAAAAATGGCCACAGATTCCTCCTCTGCATGTCCCTTTGCAAGGTGACTCTTCAGCTCCTCTTGCAAAAAGACAGTCTGTTTCTTCTCCCCTGGACCCTGGGCTTGGCCATGTGTCTTGCTTTGGCTGATGAGATATTAGCAAATGTGATACAAGCAGAAGCCTGAAAAGTGCTTGTGCATTGGGCTTGCCCACTCTTGCTCCATTTGGGCCCCTTGTTGACACCATATGAACAAGCCCAGGATTGCCTGCTAGAGGATGAGAGGCATATGGCCCAGTTGCCCCTGTCAAAAGCCAGCCAACTACCAATCAACTTTCAGAAACAGAGCCAACTGGCTGACCAGCAGCTGATCACAGATGCATGAGCAAGCTCAACCAAGACCAGCAGAAGAACCTCCCAGCTGGGCCCAGCCTAAATGGTCATCCCACCAAATTTTGACTTGAATAAATTGTTTGCGTTTTCAGCCCTTGAGTTTTTGGGCAATTTGTTATTTAGTGAAAACTAACTGTACATAGATTTCCTTTAAAACCCTCAGAGTTAGGGAGAAGCCCCTGCAGTACCCTCAGAGGCCTGACAGTCAGCCTGCTCTGCAGACACAGCCAGAGCTCTCTGCACATCTGGCCCCTCCAGAGAGGCTTCCCATAATGCACTCAGAGCCCTGACTCGCATCCTCTGCAGGACGCCCAGTTACTGCTCATACTGTCCCTTCACCCCTCAGTGCTCCACCCATCCCTAAGCACTGTAGGAAACACACCATTAATCCCTGTTGTTTTTGGGTCCCCAAGACGTACAGACTGCCATCAGCTGGGTCTGAGAGAAAGGCCATTCTGTGGAGTAGAAACACAGTCAAGGTAGAGTGCATGCCTCCTGGTTGCATGAGGCCCCCACTACCTCCAATTTTTTAGCTAGCAAAAAGCTGAAAAGTTGGAGGTAATAGGTTCCAACTTTTAGGAAATACCTTGGAGCTCCTCCCCCATATCACATCCAGACCCATTTCTCTTCCCTTACTTCTAACACCTGCCCCCTGGAACTCTCTCCAGACAACTAGGGCTCCCCCATTTCCCAGCTGCCCCCTCTTTAAAAGGTCCCAGGTTCACTTACTCTGTGACATACATTGGTCCTTGGATGATGGGATCTGCAGAAATAGTGACACAGAGCATGAGTAGCCCCTTCCAGACTGTCCAATGAAAAGCATAGCTCATATTCATTGTGTGCCAGACACCAAGCCCAGCATGTGACACGAATGTAATGTCATCTTCTCAAGAACTCTGTGAGGTAGGGTTGTTACACTTTGCCCCATTTTACGGGTGAGGACATTGAGGCTCAGAGAGGCAAAGTGACTTTCCCAAGCCCACACAGCTGGTAAGTGGTGAAGCTGCCTGGAGGCACTGGCTTGTTGGATCCTCTATGCCACAGTGACCCCCCCATCAAACTTGGGGCCCAGGGAGGGAGGCATGGGTGTCCGCTGCTCACCATCCTTCAGTGTCCACTTCAAGTCCCCTGTCTGCTTGTCCAGTGCATGGAGACTGCCATCCAAGGTGGACACCAGCAGGAGGCTCTCCAGCCTGAGGGTCTGGACCTGTGGTGGGAAACAAAGTCAGCTTTCTGAGTGGCCTGGAACTACTCTTTGCCCACTCCAGGCAGGGCTGGCTGTGACTCCCCTTCACCAGAGGGGAACAGAGAAGGGGTGGAAGGATGACTGGGGAAGCCGCTGGCTCCACCAATTACCTCCTTGACCCTGGAGAGAGGTTACAGTGGGAGCTGAGGGGTTCAGTGGTGGGAAGGGTGCTCTGGTTTCCGCGTGTCTAATTCCCACTTCCTCTCCCTCCCCTCAATTCCTTCTGGTTTTTCCAAAGAAGACTGAGGCCTTTACACAATGACTTCTTGATGCTTATAGCCTCCCTATGGGATTGGAGACTATTAGTCTCCCCATGTACAGGTGAGGAGATTGAGGCTCAGGAAGGTTAGGTAATTGGTCTAAAGCCAAACAGACAATGAATGGCTAATCTGTGACTTGAGCTGCCTCCTCTCTGATTCTTTCTCCTTTGCCACAATTTCTGCCTCTTTTGGGATGACCCTTTCTGCCTCCCCAAACTAGCCCAGCTGCTTTTGGTGCCAAGTTCCAGCCGGACCCCTGAAGCCAGACTGGGGGTGGTCACAGAGATTGGACTGGAGCTCCCCTTACACCTGGCCCCTGCTGGGCTAGCTCACCTGCTCTACCCCTCCTTGAGTAAACAGGGTGAGGCTGAGCTCAGAGCAGTAACATCCGGGTGGCCCAGCCGCACCCCTGCAAAGGCCACATCGTGCTCCAAGATTGCACTGCTTTCTAGTTCCCCTCTTTTCTGGGCCTCAATTTTGTCATCTGTGACATGATAGGAGGGAGAATGGTCTAGAGAAGACGCTGCAGACTGGTTGCCCACAACTGAATTTTGTTCAACCATGACAGGGTTTAAAAATTTGTTTTTAATTAACTGCCAATTTTTTTAATTGGTAGATTTCACTTTTTAAAAAAATCCAGATTTCTAGATTTTCTCATTTTTGATTGTTCTGAGAACAGCCCATCTGGCTATACTGGGCCCACATTCTTACCTGGCAACCATGGGATGGACCAGGGGCTGGAAAGGGGGAATGGGGGTGCCTCACTCTATCAGGATCCCTTTAGCTCCATGGGGGCTGGACAACTGGTTTCTAGGCTGGGCGCTTGGCTGCATTGGTCGTTTGGCTGCATTTCTCTAAGACTCCTTTCTCCTCCAAGCAGGGTTAGATCAAATCCCCACACCTCTGGCTCCTTTGTCCCAGAGGTTCTGAACCTGGGGTCCAGTCATAGGTAAGAGGGATGCACCCCTGAAATTGTCTGTACAGCTGGTGCGTTGGCGCATTTCTTCGCAGAGGGCTCTTAAGTTGATCACTTTTTCAAAGGAAACCGAGATCCCCAGAAGTTTTAAGAGGCCTGGCTTTCCTGCCCCTCCCCCAGGCTCCTCCTCCCCCCCGCCCCCAGGGCGGCAGAAGAAAGGGGGGTGCTGGGTCTACCTGCACCTTTCCACGCTGGCACGTCTCCCCAGCCAGGTGTGTTCCCCGGACCTGGGAGGTTTTCCCTCGCCAGGGACCGACCTGGGGTGATCCGGGCCGAAGGAGGAAGAGGCGCCCCCGTTGCCCTGCGGACTCGACTTCAGAGGTTTTGCGTCCCCCCGGGTTCTCACCTGTGGCCCGAGAGTCCCGAGCAGCGCCGCGAGCCGGAGCAGGAGCCCGAGCAGGGGCCAATGCCCAGACCCCCGCGTCGCGCTTGCCATGGGCAAGAGCTGTGGGCAGCCTCACGGTTGGCTGGGTCCCTTGGTGCCTCCAGGGGACGGCACTGCCTCCGCCCGACCCAGAGGAGACTCCGCCCCGGGCTGGGCCAGTTGGGGACGCAGAGGCTTGGGCGCGACCTCAGTCTACAGATCTCTGCTGCTCCCGCCCGTCCCTTCCACTCATGTCCGCGTCCCTCATGCTGCGTCTTCCACCTAGTCACCCCGCAGGGACAGCTCTGAGCTCTCCTGGGGAAGGGCTTTTACTAACCGAGGCCATTTATGGAGAACTTACCACGTGCCGAGTACTGGGCGGATTGATCAGGAGCTCATTTCCTCTGGGCAGCTTTACCGATGTAGGAGCTGAGGCTCAGAACTGGGATCGAAATTCAGATCTGTCCGACCGCAAAGCTGTGCTCTTTATACTGCACTAGTGGCCTCCGCTGCGCTATTATGAAATATAGATTAATTGATGGATTCAGTCATTCATTCAATGAATATTTATCACGACCTATTATAGGCCAGCCTGGTGAACAGGATCCCTGTGTTCGTGAAGCTTATAGATTCCTTTGCTGTGGGTATCAGACAATACCACGTGGAAGGGTGCCCCGCTAGGCAATAACCGGCCATGCTCCAGGCAGACCTCCCCGACTTGGTCCAGGGAGGGTGTGCAGGATCCTGGCAGGAAGGGTCCATTCTGTTTTCAAGTTTAGGCTCATTTATTTCTCCTTCATCTTTGTGTAAAAATGCCTGCTGATATGAGGGTACTGCAGACAGGCTGTTACCTACTCCCTTTCCTTTTGTCGTCCTTGGCCCTCCTGGTCACGGCCCACAGTCACTGAAGGCTTGCTTGGTAGCTGGCCTAGAGCCTTCATCTCCACCCTGAATCCTGCCATTGTCATTGGTGTCTCCAGTGTCCACAGGGACAGCCTAGCCAGCATTCTGGCCTCTCAGTTCAGTGACTGAACCTCTGTAGAGACCTTGTCCTCCACACCACCACTGCATATCCATGTGTTGGACCTTGTCACACCCTGAACTGCTTTACCTCCAATTTCCCTTTCTCCAACTGCAGCCTCCTATCCTCGCAGCTGTGTCACCCCTCATTCTCCCTATACCTCTTCCCTGACCCATGTGATAGCTTCTTTCCCTTGATCTCTCTCCCGCTCTGTCAGCCCCTTCCTGATTCTTATCCAGTTCGGACATCCCAGCTGACCATCTGAGCTATACCCCTGTCTTAGGATGGGTTTCCATTTTTGTGAGGGTAATTTATTGGGATGATGCTCTCCAGAGGAGAGAAAGGAGAGGGAAGCCGGATAGAGCAGGGGGCCGATGGAGAGGAGGACTAGAGCAGGATAGGGTCTCAGCTGGAGACTCACTTCAACCTGATCCCACAGTCCTAATGCTCCCCAGTCTGTCAGTCATTGGCCACTGGCCTGTCCCAGGGGGTGGGGTATGATCTCCCAGGCAAAGCAACTCTCAGCAGCTAAGGGCAATTCTCTGCAGAAGGGGCAGCTGTGAGCCCTTAACAGCTCACTCTCAGCAGTTGGGGAGTGGGTGCCTGGCCCTGCGAAGGGGATCTGGCCAGGCCAGCAACAGTATCCACTGCAATCAGTGATCTCAATTTCCTTGCCCTGCCTCTCCAACCCAAAAAAACCCCATTCTGGAAAAAGTGCTACCAACCATCTTCTTTGCTCCTATTCCAAGGTCTGTAAACCTCAGCCAGTCTACCCAGTGATTACTCTACTTGGTCAACTCTCTCAACACTCCCCCATTCCCCTTAGAGTCTGACTCTTCTAAACCCATGACAATGCTCAAGTCTTCCTACATTTTTTTTTTTTTTTTTGTCTTTTTCGTGACCGGTAAGGGGATTGCAACCCTTGGTGTGGTTTCAGCCAGTGAGCACACCGGCCAGTCCTATATAGGATCCAAACCCGTGGCGGGAGCGGCGCTGCGCTCCCAGCCCCGCCCTCTCCCGAGTGCGCCACGGGCCGGCCCTCAAGTCTTCCTACATTTTTTTTTTTTTTTTTGTCTTTTTCGTGACCGGTAAGGGGATTGCAACCCTTGGTGTGGTTTCAGCCAGTGAGTGCACCGGCCAGTCCTATATAGGATCCAAACCCGTGGCGGGAGCGGCGCTGCGCTCCCAGCCCCGCACTCTTCCGAGTGCGCCACTGGCCGGCCCTCAAGTCTTCCTACATTTTAATCAAAGTGAGCCCATCGTACATGATATCCTTTAAATTTCTTCCTCTCTCACCTCTAGCTAGAAGCTCATCTACAGCCATACCCACCCTTACTTCCTTTCCCCAAGTTTCAGGGGATGTGGTGCCCCTCTCTCTTCAGATGCAGTCCCTTTTGGCTTCCTCTGGGATAATAATAAAACCACAACAATGACAATCACACCACCAATAAAAGTGTAATCTTTAGAATTATCTTACATAATCCTCTGAACCTCCAAACGAAAGAAACTATTATTACCTCTGTTTAACAGAGGAGGAAACTGAGGCTGAGAGAGTTTAAGCAAAATGCCCTCAGTGACCAAATAGGTGGTGGAGACAAGATTCAAGACCACATGGTTTGATTCCAGAGCCCACACTCTTAAGCAAAATGCCCTGCTGTTCTCTAGTACCACAACTTATTTAACTCTCCTTGATTAGTTTCTTGCTCTGGATGAGGCAGGCATGGACACTCAGATGCCCACAGGGGCAGGGCAGCTCATGTGACTGAGTACACAGCCAGCCAGAAACTGCAGCCAAGTGGAGCATGAGTGCTTAGAGGGGCTCAAGCCAAAGTCTCTGGTATGATTCCGATTGGTCTGGCTTGGGTCATGTGTCTATCCCTGAACCAATCACTGAGGCTAATGGGCTAGAATACTCCGATTGGCCAGGCCCGGGTCACATGCTCACCTGCATGGGGGTGGGATCAGTCCCATTTACAGTCCATGGACTTGAGAAGGGATGGATGACCCTCCAAAGAGAAGTTGGGCAGATGAACAGTATATCTTTTCCAGTGTGCTTACCACAGATTTATAGCTAAGACTACATAGCAGATTCTTTATTCTGTCTTAAGTGGTGGAGTAGTTGCTTGTGAGAGGTACCGCTGCTCTCAGAAGCACAGCAGTGGAGGGGAAAGAGGAAGATCTGAGGTCAAGCCACCTGGAGTCAGTGACTGGATGACCCTCTCCCCTCCTCATTCTTCTCGTTTCACTCTACTCTCGCCCTTGACTTCACCCCTACTCTACGCTCACTGTGCACTTCACTGACACCTGCTCCTGCACACTAAATACTTGCTGCAATCAGCTCTCCCAAGTGATTCTTGCCCGACTCATGCCTCTATCCCCCAGCTGCTCCAAGGGTGGGTTGTTAAGGGCTCACAGGTGCCTGCTTCTCTACAGAATTGCCCTTGGCTGACTGGAGCAGCCTAGTGCCTACCCTGCCTGTGACCAAGTGACATAGGACTACAAAAGACTGGCCCCTTTGCATCAATGTGGAACCAACTTTGTGGAAGAATTTATGCTGCAGAAGTCCCCATGGGATCAGGCTGAAGCCAGTCTCCTTTCTTTACCTGGCTCCTTCTCCTGCCTCACCTGTTCCTCTCATTCCCCTTCTGGAGAGCTCTTCCCAGCACGTCACTGGAGCAAGAATCCCTGTCTCAGGCTCTGCTTTTATATACTTCATCTAGGACACCCTCTGATCACATTTCCATCAAATGTAGCCATAGAAACCCCAACTGTCTCAAGACACCAAAACCTCTTTTAGAAATATGTACCTCCTGATGCTTTTGGTTTACTTGGTTTCACCCACATGCTCAGCTGCTCCAATATCCCCAAATTGCACAGTAGTCCCAACTTCATGACGAAAATGATCGCTTGCCACTTTAGAAACTAACCCAAGCTACTGAGCATGTAAATGAACTCTCCTTTATGTTTTATATTTTGTGTACTGTACATTTATTTTGGAATGTACGTTGTGTTTGTTACTTATGCTTGGATTCGTAATCATTTCTCATGCAATAAATTTGGCTTGCATAGAATATGAACTACAAATGAACTGGAATAAATTGGTGTGTGTGTGTGTGTGTGTGTGTGTGTGTGTGTGTGATGATAAAAGAAGTATGTATTCTAGAAACTTTGTAAAATTCAGAAAAATATAAATAAGAAAAAATTCATTCATGGTTCCATCTGCCGGAAGCAGAGCACCTCTGTTAACATTCATTGTCATATTCCCTCCAGTTTTTCCCCCCATGCCTGTTTGTCTGGTGGGATCCTATGTTGAAATATTAACCTGTTTTTCTTCTCCAGAGCTGCTTTCTTTTCCCCTGATAGCCCTTCTCCCATTCAAACAAGACTGCTTTAAATGTATTGCCTCAGTGAAGGGATGAAGAAGCAGAAAAAGAAAAAAAAATTGAAGTTTTTGAGTTTTCTAAGAACTCAGGGTATGAACTTAGATTTGAGACTAAATAATGAGACTAGAAAAGATTACCCAGACTTGGAGAGGAAGGAGGACAAGGAGAAACAAAGAGAAGATGCTGCAGATCCCTTAGAAAGAGGGACTTGTAGGAGAGGGGGAGAAAGAGAAGGGGAGGGGGAGAGAGAGAGAGAGAGAGAGAGAGAGGTGTGTGCTCAAAATATACATAGAGATAGAGACTTTGGGTGGGAGAGAGGGGCCATGCAGCACAGACCAGTGAGGACAAGAAACAGGACCCAGTGAGACCATGGGCATCTCAGGGGATGCCAGCTGAGACAGGTGGTGATGAGTACTCAGTGCCCTCTTCCTCCTGGCACTAGGTAAACTCCACGGAACTTAAATCTACCTGGGAAAAAGGCTGAGAGAAGCCAGATGGGACTGAATGTCTTCCACCTGGTACAAAGAAAGCTTAAGATAAAGTTTATAAAGTTATAAGGAAATAAAATTACATTTCTTCCCCACGCCTCCGTTTAAGTGCTCTGTTCCTAGATACATACACACAACATCAATAGCTTTTCTCCATTCTGTTGCAGAACGAAATAGAAG